GTGTGTGTGTGGCCAGCTCAGCCCACCAGGGGGCAGGGCTGGCTGGCATGTGGTGCTGGGGGATTGAACCGCAGTCCCTGTGCTTTGCTTAGCTAAGCTTGTTCTAAATAGGTGCTTTAGACCACTGAGCCATCTCACCAGCCCACCTCCATATTTTTAACGGAATAGTTAATGCTTTTTTTTTTTCTTTTAAATTTTTTGACCAGTTCTGTATGCTTAATATCTGGTAATATGAACAACTAATCTGAAGACACCAACGTGCAATGTAACCACCACTGTCGAATTCCTGTCATCTGGTTTAGTGAAATTCTGTATCGTTTCTGTTTTTCATTCTCTTCAAAAAAAATTAAATGAATAAATGAGTAACTATTTTAAAAAGGTAACGCGTCACGACCACCTGGTGGTTACTCCAGGAATACAAGGCTGGGACAATATTCCAAGGGTCAGTTGGTGTATTTCACCACAGCAACAGGGAATTACCATCTGTGGAGGGCAGGCATCCGCCCTGCCCAGCCCCACTGTGGCCACTGTGCCAGGCACGAAGGATCCCGAGCTATGCGATGCACCCCAAAATTCGTAAGACAGAAGATGTGCACGTGAGAACGACCCTCCACGTAACGGTCCTGCCAGCCCCAGTGTCGCGAGCCCACCACTCTGAACTGCAGGTAGGGACCCATGCCAAGCGCCACCTGACCCAGGGAAGTATGGCAAAGGAGTTCTAAATGTCCCACATTAAGAAAAAAAGAAAAAGGCTGAGGAAACTAGAAATAAACTGTTCAGTTCAGCAGCAGGAAGCACTCTACACCTCACTCCCGTCTGCTCTCTAGGTTCTGAAGACAGCCGAGTCCCCGAGGGAGGAAGCCAGGCCCTCTTCACCTCTGCACTCCCAGTGCCTGCTCCTGGTTCGAGACCAAGGTAAGTTCTCAAGCGGAGGAGGGCCTCCAGAGCTACAAAAGCTAAATTTAATATTTTTTTCCATGATTTTATTGAGAAACAAATAGCAATGAGACAGTTTCAAACCAAATTGGTAGGACAGTTTCAATAATTAACACAAGCTAAATTTAATATTGAGAAATCAGACAGTGGCTGCTCTGGGACGGGGACAGGAAGAACTGACGGGAAGGGCTGGGAATCAGCTCGGGGAAGACCGCGAGCAGCGCGAAGCCCTGCGCTCTGCGCCCACACCAAAGAGGAGGAGGAGGAGGGGACCCAGTGGGAAGCTGCAGCCCACAGCAAGCCCAGCAAGAGCTCATGGTGCTAAAGCGAACAACTGTGCACCTCGGGGGCCAGGGAGATGGCTCAGTAGAGTAAGTGCTTGCCTGGCCAGCGCAAGGGCCTCAGTTCGATCCCTGGTTCCACCAAAAAATAAAATAAAGGGAAAGGGGCTTTATTATAGGGCCAGGGAGATGGCTCAGTAGAATAAGCGTTTGCCTGGCAAGGACCTGAGTTCAATCCCAAGTTCCACCAAAAAAAAAACCCAGCTCCACACCTCATTAGCCTGAGCTGACTCGGACTAAACTCCTCCTTTTTTTTTTTCTTTTTTTACTGACTTGTGAGTGAGGTGATTGTTTAGAATTATGGATTGAATTATAAAGAGCTTTTCACATTTAAAAAAAAAAGGGTTAGGGTTAGGGTTAGGGTTAGGGTTAGGGTTAGCAGGTCCTCCTCTGGACCTGCTGCCAATGGAACTACAGGACTAAACTCTAGAAAAAGGGTAGGATGAACGCTGAAGAGACAATCACAAGGCCGTGACAGATACCAAAGTGAAACCAGGTGTGGTGGCATACTCCCACAATCCCCAGCATTCAGGAAGCTGAGGCTGGAGGGCTGCCATGAGTTCGAGGCCAACCTAGACTAACGACCCTGTCTCAAAATAAAACACAAAATGATTCTTATATCCAGATATGGTCTTAGGCATATTAGCAACCATAACAGATAATGTCAGAATTACATCTGAAAGTAGACATGTATAGCTCTTCCAGTAAAAGATATATTCCTGACAAATACCCCGTAAAGTACATTTCTGAAAGGAAATCAGAATTAATCATTAAACTCCACTTAAGCACATTTACGGCCAGGCATGGTATGGTAGTGCACGCCTGTAATCCCAGCACTCAGGAGGCTGAAGCAGGCTCCATAGTGAGTTCAAGACCAGGCTGGGCTGCACAGTGAGACGCTGTCTCAAAAAAGACAAAAAAGGCCCGGGGAGATGGCTCAGTAGAATAAGTGCTAAGAGCCTGAGTTCAATCCCCGGTTCCGCAAAAAAAAAAAAGAGACGAAAAAGGGTTTTCAGGTCAGTATTATGTAACCCCATAAAAGCTAGACACAGAGTAACATCTGCACTAGTACTATCTTTCCGAACACTCACATTTTTAAAAGCTCTAATACATATACAATTGAAAAACACACACAAAGGATCAAGGAAACAGAAAAATCTGGGCAAATATACACATTGCAACAACACCGCATACAGACCTTTTTTCTTGCTGGCTTTCTGAGATTCAGCAGAGGCAGGAAACTGAGTTCTCTGAAATGACAGTTGTGGTCTATGAAATCACGCGTACTGCTTGTGGCTTAAAGATACATTCAAATAATCAGAATGACTATCAATCACACCATTAGTCCATTAAGTGCGTACGAGTACAAACAATTATCTTAGTATCATTTAAAAAACAAATGCCACATATACCTTTGCTACTGAAACTACTACTAATATAGAATATATATTCAAAGTAAATATCTAGGGGCTGGAGGTTTAGCTCCGTGGGGCGGTGCCTGCCTGGTAAGCATAAGGCCCTGAGTTGGGGGGGGAGGGGAGGGGAGGGGAAGGGGAGGGAAGGAGGGAGGATGTGCATTTATACTGTACAAAAATTATAATGTATCATGTATGGATTGTTATAAGAGCACTAAGTCCTTAAGCATTTAGTATTAATATTGCACTTAATGCTGTGCTTTTCAGCAGAAAAGTAATCCCTGTCTGATAAAGGCAGATATATGTCACCTACAGAGACAGTGTCTAGCAGTCAATTCTAGGAGTTAGACAGTACACTACCTTACCTGAAAACTTCTAGGTAGATTTTTATACTAACATCCTATTTTATATAGGATAAATTTAAAATATAAAACAATGGCTGGAATTTTTCTAGAAGTAAAAGGTGACACTAATTCTTAAAGTCTGGCTATACAACAAACCCTAAGCAGTAAAATGGGAATGAACACATACTTAATACAGCATAGGGAACTTAAGACACGCTTAAGGACCAGCCAAGTAGCTCAGCGGATTAAAGCGCCTAGTAGCAGGCCCATGGAACAGGGGTTCGATCCCCAGGTCTGCCGTGCCAGCCCCACCCTGGAGTACACTGAGATGGCAATTGAGACTGGCCGTGGTGGCACTAGGCGTGGTAGCACGCACCTGTAATCCCAGCTCTTAGGAGGCTGTAAACAGGCAGATCACTACGAGTCTGACCTAGTAGTGAGACCCTGAACACCCTGTAGACCCTTCCCTAAAAATAAAAAAAAAAAAAAAAAGACAGCATTGGAGCCAGGTGTGGGTGGCGCACACACAGTGCACCTATAATCCCAGCACTTGGGAGACTGAGGCAGGAGGACCACTGCAAGTTCAAGACCAGCCTGGGCTACAAAGTGAGCTCAAGGCCAGCCCGAACTGCATAGTGAGACCCTGTCTCAGAAAGACAAAAAAAAAAAAAAAAGACAGTAAGCGGTGCCAGGCATGGTCGCACACACCTATAATTCCATCACTGAGGAGGCTGAGGCAGGAGGACCACTGTGACTTTGAGGCTAGCCATTACATGAAACAAATATCCACAGGGACCAGAGGTCAGAAAACTAAGACCTACAAGTCAAACATCACACGTGTGTGTGTGTGTGTGTGTGTGTGTGTGTCTTGTTTTTTTGAGACTGGGTCTCACTATGTAGTTCATGTTGACCTTAATTCACTATGGAGCCCAGGCTGGCCTTGACCTTCCAAATCTCCAACATCAACCTCCGGAGCGCTAGAATTACAAGTGTTCACCACCACACCTGGCAAAAAAAATTTCTAATAATATTTATCAAATATGAGAATTATATAAAAGTCAAATTTTCAGTATCTACAAATAAAATGTTATCAAAACACAGCCATGCATATGTTTATGTATTGCATATGGGTGCTTTTGTATTACAACAGGATTCACTAGTTACTAAAGACTGCGTAGGCCACAAAGCCAAAAATATTTACTGTCTGAACTTTTACAAAAGAGAAAAAAAGTCTGGCAATCGTGACCTACACACTTACACCTGTGAAAACTAACTTCCAAGAACAAAATCAACCTGGTAAGCATGAGAGTTCAATTTCTGGTTAAAAAGAAAGTAAAAGCCAGCCAGGAGGGGTGGCACATGCCTGTAATCCCAACACTTGGGAGGCTGAGGCAGGAGGATCGTTGCAAGGTCGAGACCAGCCTGGGCTACATAGTGAGCTCAAAGCCAGTCTGAACTGCATGGTAAGACCATCTCAAAAAGACAAACAATAAAAAATAAATAAAAGACCCTCAGATTTTGAAATTTTAGACTCACTGAGAATTTTACAGTCCCTCTACTATGCAGATTTTTTAAGTACGGACTGCACATTCAATACATACAGTATCGGGCTGGTGAGATGGCTCAGTGGTCTAAAGCACCTACTTAGAACAAGCTTAGCAAAGCACAGGGACCGCGGTTCAATCCCCCAGCACCACATGCCAGC